AGACGCCGAAAGCGGGGGACCACAATTCTTTGAATTTGCTTGTTTTCCTATCAACGAAAATCGAGGATCTTATTTTGGTCTTGGAGACTCAGAAAAATATTATTTTGCCGGTCTGAAAATTTTCTCCTAATTGTTTAGTATTTTTCTCCCCTTAATTTAATCTTCAGTTTCTGTGTGTTGATATTTTTTATTTCAGTGGAATTCAAAGCAATGAGTTATATTTCATGATTTGAAACAAAGTTTTATAAAGATCAAATTTTTGAAACGTAAAAAAATGTAAAAACAATTACAGTTGGTTCCTTGTAAGATAATCGCAGTGCCCGCCAATGACGAATATTCAATTACATCATACATAGATGTTAAAATCAGATAAGGGCAGACAAAATTGATATCCCATTACATACTGAAAAAACTTTAAAGACTTAAATGGAAATCTGACCATTCTGCACTTTGTTGCTGTTAGATAGGTTGTCATTGGGGAGAAGATATAGAAAAAACCTCGGGTTCGGAAATCTGATCCGCGCCATTTCAATGGCAGACAAATTGTCACCTTATTTAATACTATTATAAAATTCAAAAACCAATTGTGAGATCTGTTATTTCATATAAAATAAATTAGTATTTTTGAAGAATACCGACGCCCTATTGACTACGAGAGGTCTTAATTAAAGTTTTGTATGTTATGAACCTGATACTTCTAAGCGGCTTCAATTTCAGTTTTTTAATTTAGTAGATAATTATATAAGATTGCAGTGAAAAAAATCAAAGGAAATTGGTTTGTGTTATAAGACCTGCAGTCCTGAAGGAATTTTTTAATTTGTTCTTCGAATTTAATATTTCCTGTAGGAATTTAAGCTCACCCGAGCCAAAGATTCAATTTCAAGCTTTTTTGATCAAAGTAAAATCGTCTCTCTGTTTTTCAGTCTCCACTTTCTTAAAAATGTATTTATCTGTCTGTTCGTCGGTGCCTGTCCGTCAGTCTAGCTGCCTGTTCGTCTGTCACAAAAACTTTAACCTTGGTTAGAACTTTGTAATGAGAAGAGATAAGACTTTCATTTCTCATTTCCTTGCCCACGTAATCCAAGAATTTGCCCTGCCTGTCCGTCATTATGTTTGTTTGTCTGTCTGTCTTTTTATCTGTTTGTCAACAAAAACTTTCAAATTGCCAATAACTTTTAATTGGTTGGAGCTCTGGACCTTGGAGTTTGACCTTATTTTGCAAAAAAAATAATAATAATAACTTTGGCCATAACTTTTGAACAGTCGCTGCTAGGGTTATTATATTTCAATCTGTATTTCTTTATTGATGTTCTATGTTTCTGTATGATAATATTTCAGCTATTCCCCTTGGTATCTTTTATTTGAACTTTCACCTTGACTTTGGAAATTGACCCATATTTATTAAAACCTCTAACCTTGGTTATTACTTTTAAATGGTCAGTGCTTGGACTTTTATGTTTAATATCTTATGAATCAGTTCCAGAAATTATACAAAATGTTTAGAACATTTTTATTTGTCTTTTTTTTCGATAAGCAAAGAGTTTCACTAATTCCTATGTACATTAGGAATACGTTAAATGCTAAATGTACTATACGTTAAGCAGTAACGTAGAGGATGTCAAGATGTTAACTGGTCAAAACTTTTCTTTGTCTTGGCACCAGTCATCTTGGTCTGTCTTGTATTGTATACAATACATTTGTTACTTCACCGAGTTCCATTGCCTCAGTGACTCTATAGCCTGAATGAAGCTGCGCTTCTTATTTACTGCAGACATTTTCTAACAGTACATAGGGTTATTTGCTGTAAGTAACCCGTGTCGACCGTAGAGTGCCAGTTCTGTAATTTTTTTAATACCAGCTTGCAGAGTTTAGTTGATAGATTTAGACTGGGGGGATTATAATTAAATCAGGAGGAAATTGATGGCGCTGTTTTGACTAAGACCAGGATAAAAGAGAGAGAGAGAGAGAGAGAGAGAGAGAGAGAGAGAGAGTTTAGTTGAGTCATATATTTTTCCCAGATAATCAATTTCTTATAATATTTAGAATATAATTCTTTTCAACATAATTGTCTTTATGAATGTCATCATCTTAATTCTCAACATCCTTATTTTCTCAGCAATATCTCATTCTTCTAATCAAATCATTATTTTTTAATCAACATATCAATCTTGTCAACAACATCTAATTCTTCTCATTGTAATATCTCAATCTTAATATCAACATCTTAATCCTTTCATTAACTTTTCAATATTCTCATTCACTTTTCAATCGTATAATCAACATCTCAAAACTCTTATCAACATCTCAATCGTCTAATCAACATCTTTCTCACCTACATCTCAATTTTCTTATCAACATCAATTTTTTTTCTTTAAGTCACGATCTTTTCAATATCTCAATCTTTTAATCAATACCTCAGTTTTCACATTAACATCTCATTCTTTTGATCAACATCTCAGTGTACTCATCAACATCAAAATTTTCTCATCGACATCTCAATCTTTCCATCAACGTATTTATGTTCTCCTCCATAGTTCAACCTCCTCAACAGTATCTCAATTTTTTCATTTACATAATAACCCTTTCAACAACACAATTCAATATTATATATACATGTATATGTATGGCACGCCAAATTCACAAAAATGAGATAAACCTAGTTTCACATTTGATAAACTAGGTTTATTGACTGTAAACTATAGTTTACAAACCGTCTATAGTTAACGATTCGTTAATATAGTTAGCAATTCGTTAACTATAGTTTTCTTCTGTAAAACTATTTTTAACGAATTGTTAACTATAGTTTACGAATGCTAATCTAAGTTTATCTGTCTGTAATAAAGCATTAACAATAGATTTTGTTTATAAACATAGATTCACGTTTGTAAACTATAGTTTATCTCAATTTTTTCTATAGTTAACGGTTTGTACATAATAATCACTATGTTTTGCAATCGCAAATGATTGTTTTCAACAACACAATTCAATATTATATATACATGCCATATATATGCCTCTTTTTAATTTCTAATCAGTATCTTATTTATTATTATCAAAGCCTTATTTTCTTCATCAATATCATTATTTTCTTTAACTCATCATAAATATTTCGACCGTCCAATTTTTTTTTCTTCTAATCAACATCCTATGTTTCTCAACAACATGTTTCTCATCAATATCTTACGGAAGCCCGTTGGTGTCACGTACGAAAAATATTTTATCTGGCAGCCACCACATAAATTATTTTGCAAAATTTGAGTGATATTGGGTTAAGAGGATAGATGTTGACACAGCCGCTGCTTAATGATAAAACAAGTTAATGATAAAAAATGAATTCTGAAATATTGGAACACCATTCTTAGAAATCCAAAATGCAAAAACTTTATCTAATTATCAACCAATCATAGCAAACACAAGAATATAGGTGACGAGATAACCCGGTCTCACCTAAAACTAACACCGTGATTTATGTCCGTGACCCCTGATGAGGCTTCTTAATAACCGAAACACTCTACAAATACTTTCATAATTCAAATCAAATATTACATCTGCTCTATGCAAAAACATATCTACTAGAAGTGTAGATTGAAGTGTTGGTTCATAATAAATCTCTTACAAGTTTGGTTGATTGATGTCGCTATTATAATTTTTACACTGTATCCACCTCTGAAATCACACGTTAAAACATGCGCGCGCATCAGGAAGCCAGGTGTTATCTGGCGGACGCCATATAAATAATGTGGCGGCCGCTAAACATTATGTGGCGGCCGCCAGTTAAATATGAGGCGGCCGCCAATGTTATATAGCGGCCGCCAGATAAATATGTGGCGGCCGCCAGGTGTTATATAGCGGCCGCCAGATAAATTATGTGGCGGCCGCCAGATAAAATATTTTTCGTACGTGGCACCAACGGGCTTCCGTAATATCTCAATCTTCTCATTGACATTTCAACCATGCATCAATTCCTTCTTATCTTCATCAATATAATCATTTTTTTTCGTCAAATTGATCGTCAAATATCTGTGTTAAAGTGTGTATGCTCACGTACATATCAAGAACATCGTAAACTTTGCATTAGCATCTCAATCTTCACATCAATATCTCAATTTTCATACCAACATATCAATTCTTTTCATCAACATCTCAATTTTTCTCATCAACATCTCAATTTGTCTCATTAATATCTGAATCTTCTCAAAAAAATCACAATTTTCTCATCAACATCTTCATCTTCTCATCATGTATTAATATCATCTTCATCAATATCATCATCGTTTTCGTCAACTCATCTTTAATAAGTTTCGATCGTCGGAAAAATATGTGCTAAAGTGTGTATGCTCGCGTACATAAAAAAGAACCTTGGTAAGGCCTTGTGTAGTTTTTCAATGTCATAATTCCTTTGATAAAGGCCGATATAACAGTAGCGCTGTATATAAATGAAACATCTGATTTCTGTTATCTTTCAGCGCTCATATCATCCATTCTTTTATCTCGTACGTAGGGACCATAAACGCCCTGAATTGCATTTTAAAAGAATTAAAACAAATTTGACTCGAGGGTAAATCTCTTGTTATATGAGGGTTTTTTTCTGTCTCTCGTTTTCTCTGTTTTTCATTGTGTGTAGGTGATGAGCTGTAACTTAACACGCTTGTTTTAATGTAACGGGAGCTATAACCATTCTTAGGTATCATTTTGATGGACAATTTTATTCGGTGATTGCATTAAGAAATGGGAAAGACAAAACACAAAGACATAGGAGAGCGGGGAGAAAAATAGCGTTCCTCTGTTAAAATCAACGAGTACGTTTTTTGTTGAGAGAGAAAATATGTAGACGATTTAAAAATGATCGGGTAATCGTCAAAAAAGCAAAAATATTTCTGTCTTGCCGTAACTAATTGTAAACACGGGGGCATGTATTTATTTTATGAGGTAATGAAGGGAACAAAACGATTAACCAATCAGAGACCAGGAAATTCCCTTATCTCACGTCTCTATCGAAATCACTGTACGATATTCCCTATCCAGCGAGAAAGATTTTAACCTGGCAAACACAGTCTATAAGAATGGATTCTTATAACATTACCGTGCGATAAAACAGGTCGGATTAGTTTAATTCTCTCTCCTCAGAAATGCTAATTAATAGCAATTAACGAGCATCTTCATTTGCATAATTTTCTGGATCTGCCATCGAGTGACATGTTATGTTTTCCTTAAGACAATGGGTAACACGTCATAAAGTGTGTATATTTCCTCGCACATGAACGTAACATAGGCGAACAGAGAAATATACATCGTTACACGTGCTGGGATCCTATCTTTATGTGGAGAGGGGATTTTATCGATAGAAGATGAATCTATACTCCTATTCTTCATTCTTTCTCTACTTTGTGGGAATTTTACTGAAATATACGACAGGTGAGATATTTATTTAATTTTGATAAATGCCTGAATAAGAAGATTGTCAGTCGTAAAGCTGGTATCTTGCTTCGTGAAGTTAGTCCATATGATATATCTTCATTTCACAGTGGACATTGAAAAACGTCAACTGTTTCTATACCTTAACCCCACATGGCCTTACGAGGCCGGGGACACGGTCATGTATTAGGAATTTACGTTTTATTTATTCCTAGGTACGACTGGTTGGGCCTGACATTTTTTTTTTGATGTGTCATTTTGGTCTATTCATCAATGGCGACATATTGTTTTAATGCATTGTCTGCTTTTCGAACATTACACCATAGGACAAAAGAAGTCATGACTTTATTAAATGTAGATTATTAAAAGACGCGAGTCTCCTTTCTGTCCCATAAAGTACATTATCAAACATTGAAATTAAAATAAAAAAATCCTTAAAATATGATTATAGAGTGCAACCTTGATGAACAATTTAATATTTTCGTACTGCAAACAATGGATTTTTTTTACGTTGAATTAAAATTGGCGGATCATGTTGCTCAAGTGGTGATTTTTCATCAATGAAATCGGTAAATATTGTTTATTTACTTAACGGAGCGAAGTGAAGTCCCGGGGTGATGGCTTTGTAGCGGTCATAAAGGCGATTTTCCTCCTCAATTGTGCACCGTTTAGAGGTTTAGGGGTCTCTTATATCGGGAGAGTTATTGGATTATAGACTTAAGTGAAAGTGATTTTCAGCTTAAGTAAATATATCTATTACAAGAGGGGAAAAACGGGTAGAAAACATCTTGTGGGGTAGAGATTCGTCAACTTCTTACGATTCTTTACTGGGGGAAAAACATAACCTTTCTCAATAAATTTATTTTTTTGATATAATTTATCAGTCAAGATTTATCCATAGATGAAAAATAACTAACCCAATATATTGTCATAAATGAAAGATTTAATACACTTTTTAAAAAGTCTACCTACATATGAACTTGTATATTGTAGAGAATTTTGGAAAAAAAAAATAGATTTGCTCCTCTTGAATAAAAACATTTCATGAAAAAGTAAATACTGAAAATCGAACACGGTATTTTATCCTTTGCCATCTAATTATTGTGCACAAGAAAGGTACATGAAGCTGGGCTGGAATCGCCGTGTTGTGTGTTTACTTTATCCTCTAGTCAGCTGGTAGAAGTAGCATCCCGCTAGCAGGTTAACTCTATTGTTTGTATATACATAAGACCTGTCAGTTTGTTTGTTATGGATTTTGCGTGCTTTAGTATCGAATGTGGAATTAATAGATTCCGTATGTAGGTAGTATTTTGATCTTAATTTCGAATGACTTGAAGTCTTTCTGACGACGTGGGTATAGAAAGTTCGTGTCGAGAAATGGGGGAGGGTACACGTACATGTAGATCAACGGCGGATCCAGAAATTTCATAACGGGAGGGCGCACACCCGGTGCGCCGGCCCTAGATCCACCTTTGTAGATGCCATGGCACAATTTTCGCACTAAGATGTAAAAGCATTTTGTTTTACATGTTTTTTGCTTACAGAAACTTTTGCATGAGAAATCTTATAAGAATTTTATTCCAGTTTTTTGGGAGTTCTGTAAATTCATAGTACATGTAGTACTGACAAAAATCTAAATGAAATTAAATTTCCCACATCAATCCTGCTGCTTAAATAATGTATAGGTCTAAGTACTTCGCTAGAGAGAAAATTACCCCCTGCTTCTGAAAACAACAAATTCTGACTCCAAAAACATTTAGAGAGAGAGGGAAAAATGCCATTCAAGTAGCCTCTTCTCTTTAAATTATTTATCAAGCATAACGAAAACGAAAGCTCAGAGCAGAGAAAAGATGTATAAAAAAATATTAATAAGCTTTCAAACGAAAGCTCTCCATGTCGAGGGGAGACTAACTATTGACTGTACACGATCGGCGCATATTTCTCCGGACCTGGCTTCTCCAAGACTTCGCCTGTTAGACGCCACAGTCTTTACTTAATTAGCAGATCACTAATGATAAATCGCTCCTAATCAAGGCGAACACACAACTAGCACAATGAAATACGGATTCCAGGGGCGGATCCAGCAATTTTTGAAAGGGGGGGTTCCAGGGTTGTGTCCCTCAACCCCCCCCCCCACCCCCACCCCCCACCCCCGCATACAAACTCTCAAGCAAAGATTCACACACGTATTGAAAGATCTTATGTTGTGGTAAATAATATCTTTGTTTACATCCCTTTTCTTTCTTTGAAAAGGTACCCCAAGTCAGAATAAAAAAAAAAAACTCATTTCAAAAACTAATGATCGAAGCCTTATAAAATTGGATCTGCAGTATTTCCGAATTAGAGTAAAAAAAGAATTTTCTTTTAGAATTTGAAAAAAATGGGGTGTAATCTTGATGCGGATGGGGTTTAAAACAAAGAGTTTTATGTTAGTTCCTTCAAAATATTTGATAAAAAGGGTATATATATATAGCCAGAGATCAGGAATATCATATCATTAACAACTCATATGTAAGTTTCATAAAAACAAGTAAAATATTTTCTACCATTCGCTTATAAAAAAAAAAGTAATAATGAAGGTGAATTGAAGAAACTTAATGTATGGGAATCTATCTATTCAATACATAAGTTAGACGTACAAATATTTTTTCTCAGATAACGTTTATTCTCTCTCTCTCTCTCCACTTCGCAAAAAATAAAGGGGGGGGTTCCAACCCCCGGAACCCCCCCTCTGGATCCGCCAATGGATTCCACAAGCATTGGCACTATGCAGAAAAAAAACCATTCGAATCAATACAACGGTTTTTTTCTTTATAGCTCTGATGCGATTTCTCGTTTCATTTCCAACTCGTGTGTTTGTAGGGAGATGTAATCGGCCGCGGAACGGAAAATTTTTGATATTTGCTTTTTTAATTAAGATATTTCATAAATATATTAATCTGCAGTTATGACTGTCTTTACCAAAATAACTATAAGCTCGTGAGTCTAAGCGACCATAAAAATTCAAATATTAACAGACGCACAGTTCTCACTCACTCGGGGCTTTTCTCTCATCTTCCCCCAAAACTCATTATCTTACGTTTAATAATATTTGATAATTTCCGGGGTGAATTAGATACACATTCATCCTAGCTCTTGTCTCTTTAAGCGCGCGGTGGTGAGAGCGTCTTTCATCTTGAGGAGGAAATACAGGAAAAGTTAGCGTGCGTGAAGTTTGCAGACCTCGCGGTAAATTATACAAATTTACGAAAAACTCATGTTCATTTTAAATGTTTAATAAACATCTTTTATTTTATCCCCCTGTGTAAGTTTCTAAGAGAAAGGAAATTACAGAGAGATTCTGGAGATAATATTACTTTGAAGGAGAAAGATACAGAAATTAGGGAGGGGGAAAAATTCGCTGAATTTTCACAGATATTTTTGACAAAATGGTATTAAACTCTCGATAAACTCGAGCTCGCTAAGAAAGAAAACTAATGTAGAAGTTTTAAAACAAATTTAAGTAAGTTGTAAGAAATATGTTAGCTGAAATACCAATGAAACAAAAAAAATATTGAATAAATAATTTTTTCATAAGATTTTTCATAAATTTTTCGAAAAGAAAGTTTCTAATGTTTCTTAATTTTGCATTGAAATAAAATATCTAAGTTTTAATTCTTAAAACATATTCGTCTAAAAACACAGAAAATGTTGAATACTAATCTTTATCATGAAATCTGAAACCTGTATTGTATAAAAAGAAACTGTGCACTGTTTTAATGATACATATATAACAAGAGAGATAACCCACGACTTCAGAGGATCATCAATTTGGCGAAAACAAATTTTTAGGAATGAGAGTCAAGTGACAATTTTAACTACATCTTTATCCAGTCACTGTTAAAGAATTATCAAATGCACAAAAATTTATTTATTCAATTTCTTGAACCTTACTCCAACATACATGTTTAGGGAGAGGGCTAAAATAGGTCTTGTCTGCTGCCCAATCCCATTCACTTATTTGTGTAATTAAAAAATCATACATGTACAAGAAGCTATGAAACCAATTTCCCCCTTCTCTCTGGTCATCCACCGAAAACATGTATTTGGTATAAATAAACAGGAAAGAAAACATCAGATGTGACAATGTGAAACACAAATAAGAAGAGGGGGCTGTTAATTTCACGGTTTTGGTTGAACTGATCTTTGTATTAAAAGCATTTAACTTCATATATGTAGAGCAAGACCACTCTTCTCTAAACCTTTTAATGTTTGATTGAAGTGTCATATAAAAGTAAGATCTACAAACCGTGGCAATGTGTAGTATTTTACCTTCTAGCTTTCAATAGAGATATTCAAATTTCTGTATTTCCCTTTCATAAAAAATCTTTTAATGTTATGATGACTCAATTATACCATGTTTGGCATCCACAAAGATAGGTTTCTGTTAAATGTTAAATGATTGTATAAGATAAATTTATAAACAACAGACCGAGAGAGAGAGAGAGAGAGAGAGAGAGAGAGAGAGAGAGAGAGAGATTATTGAAACCAATGACACGCGACGAACTTGGGGATCTACATTTAATTCCATAAAGCTTTTTGTTTCCAGTGTACTTTAAATGGCCGTCGTATGTGATCGTTGTTGAAGTATCGGTCCTTCCGCCAGGGGGATCTAGATCGGTCCCCGATAAGGCTATTGTGTTCAGTTCCGAGTGTCGCCAACAGAAATTCCGGACCGTCCGGAACTCGCCACTGTTCTCGTGTCACTCGGCACACCTCGGCCGATTACATCAAACCGAGGTCAGCCGAATGTTCTCGTCTGTCAGATCAAATTGTCCACGCTATGGTAAACTCCAAAATTGCAGGGCGAATTGTGAAGGTTTTTCAATGATCTACCTCGACTGAACAATCGATCCGAGAGGGACTGAAAAATTTAAACGGCTCTCTGAAACGACAGTGAAATGAGCGTTATAGTATTACCTTACAAAACTGAATTTGATAAACATCTACAAATGATCACC